AGTGAAACTTAATAAAATTAAGAAGTGATTAAGGAAAAGTGAGACCTTGGAAAACATTGTAGGCCAAAAGATACATAAGCAGGGTCAATAGACAAGTGAGTTATGGAAATGTGAGACAAAGTTTAAGATCTACAACATACAACAAGGATTTATAAATTAATAAGAAAGAGTTAACTCAGTAGAAAAATGGGCAAAGGATAAAAATGGGCAATTCACAGAAGAGTTCATCTAAATGGCAAAAAACAAACAAACAAACAAAAAAAACCACAAAAAGCTGCTCAGCCACAGCAGTAGGAAAATGCAATTTAAAGTAACAGTGACAGATCATTTTATACCCACAGCAAAACCTGCATTTCTGGCAGGGAAACACAGAAAAAGATACTTTCATATGTTGTTTGTGGAAATGTGAAACATTACTGTTTTTTTGAAATGCAAACTTTATTAAAAGTATATATAGTATACATTTAAAATGTGTAGAATATATATATCTCCACTGATTTACTTCTAGGTATTCATTCCACAAGAACACAAACCCTAGAGAGTACAGGCATATGAATAGAATTTTTTGCCTCATGTTTATAGTTGAAGAAAAGATAAAGCTATTGTTCATCAATAGGAGAACGGCTGAATAAATTATGGAATACTCACACTATGGAATATAATGTAATCTCAAAAATGATTTGAAACTTATATCAGTTTATTTGGGGGGATTTCCTTGAAGTACTATTGAATAAAAAAACGAAATGCAAGACAGTATAATAGAATATCGTCCCACTTTTATAAAATAACATTTAAAATCTCTAATACATGCATATGTGTGTTTGTATACAATTTAAATGCGTCTGTCAGTGATTACTCAATTAAGGAGAAAACATACAAGAGGATGGATACAATGGGTTATCTGGGATCAAAGGGGAGGGTGGTACAAGCTGACATGAGCAATGTGGAAAGTGAGGAGGGAAATATTTTTGGCTCATCCTCCACCAAATAAAATAAAATAAAATAAAATAAAAAAGCAGGGGCCTTTGGAATTGGACTCCCTCACCCTGCAGCCTGGCTAGTCCCCTGCCCCCAGAATGCTTGACATCCTTCCCACCACCCTATACATGGCCTTCCGTGTTTTTTCCATGATGCTAGAATGGGGCAGTCAAGTCACTGAGGGGCAAGGAGGGTCCAGGGGTGGGGAGCTGCTTTCAGTGCATGAGAAAGGACCTCAGGGTCCAGAGTTCAGGCTGCACTCTCCCCAGGCAGCTTGGCAAATTCATGAGAGTGAGGAGAAGAGGCCATGGGAAGTATAATTCACTTGCTCTCTCAACTGAAGTCCCCCTCCTTCCATCTTAGCTGACAGGTCATGTCCTCAGAGACGATTCTTCTGAGACCCACCCCTCAGTGATCTCGCCCTTCACTCCCTTTCATAGCACTCACTACAATTTGCCATCGTTTTTGTTTGTGTTTAATGTATGTTTCCCCATAAGCGCCCCAACAGGAGGAACACTGCTTGTGCAGTACCCAGTATGAGATGTGGCGGGGTTCCGGAAACGCTGGCTGCTTTCAGTCATTTGCTCACTCACTCTCTCCTTCACTGACTCAATCTTTTATGCATTTCTTTCTTCATTTTTTCCCTTATTCACTCCAGAAACATGCTATTGGTCCATGCTTTTTCCCGATCTGAATCTTCTGCTTTCTAGGGTGGCTTTTTCAGAGAAGGCGGGAGTGGGGACATGATGGCAGAATTCTGGGAATGCATCCACAACTTGGGAGGGCCTAGCTGGGTGAGTTGGAAGCTCTCCAGGGAAGGAGGGAAGATTCCAGAAGGCTGGAAGTCCTGAGCAGAAGGTGCTGAATGAGGAGAGAGGAGAAAGTGATGTGGGGGAGGCTGGGCCAGGGAGACCCCTCTACTCCCAGGCATGCCCTGGCTCTTCCTGCTGCCAGGCCTTGGGTCCTGCCATTTGTTCTGCCTGGAAAGCCTCTTCCCATCTCCACGTGTTGAAATCCTACCCTTCCTTGCAGAGCCAGCCCAGATGTCCTCGAAGTCTTGCCTCACTCCTCCAGCTGGAAGGGCTGCTCCCTGCTACAAACAAACTTCCCTAGCACAAAATCTGGACCTCCCTCAAGGCGCTCACCACTTCCTGGCTTGGGTTGTGGTGTTGGCCCCTCTCTCCACCCCATAGGCAGAGGCTCCTCCAACTGTTCCCTGTATCCTGCAGGGCCTAGGGCCCAGCACAGAGCAGATGCTCAAGCCACTCTGGCTAAACGAATGAGCAGTGATGAGTTTGGGGGTAGGCGGGCAATGATTATGACCCCATTTTACAGATGCGGAAATAGAGGCACAGCTAAGTGATGGACTTGGCCTTGGTTCCACAGTGAAGAAGTAGCAGAACCTAGACTCAGGCCAGTGTTTCTGGTCCCAGAGGCTGGGCTCTTTCCAGGGCTTGGTGGGAGGTGAGGTAGGGTGGGGCGGAATGAGACTGGGTCCTGGGAACCAGCAGGCCACGGAGAGCTGCAGTTCGGACGGCCAAGTTCAGGGAAAGCGCAGCTGGGGAGGAGCCAAGGTATTTATTATGCTTGGTCTCCAGTTCCAAACAGAGCTGATGGATGGAGCTGCTCCAGTTCCTATAAACAGCTCGGGCCTCCCTCCCCCCGCCCTCCCCATTCTTAGCCACCACAGCCCAACTGTTTCCAGTGCGATAGGGGTGGGGGTGGGGGGAGATGACCAAGAAGAGAAGAATGGGAGACGAGGGGGAGCAAAGGAGGGGGGGAGGACAAAGATAAGTCAGGGTCCTAGAGGCCTGAGGAAGCTGCAGGGAACGGAGGGTGGTCAGAGAGGATTCTTTGCCCTCCCACTGGCCCCTGCTGCCGTGGGCGGCCCACAGTCTGCATTCCCCTGTCCTCTCTGTGTCCCCTGGGTCTGTTCAAAAGGCCTCTTCCTCGCCACATTCTCTGAGGGCTTGTCTCAACTCCACAAGCTTCTGAGTCCTGGAGGACAGGGGCCATTCACTCAGAAAACCTTTTCTGAGCTGGCTTTAGTCTGTGTTGGCTCACAGGCCCTGGGGACAGATAGGACTCCGGGTAGGACCTCCCCCCAGGAGCTCCTGGCCCGGTGGGTGGGTCAAGCAGACACCCAATGCTGAGGGCAGCCCAGGCCTGTGGGCAGCTGGAGGAAAGAAATCCAGACAGTCTTCCCAGAGAAGGTGATGGAGGTGATACAGGCGAGGGTGGTGAAGGAGATTGTGCCGGTGGGTCTGGGGTGAGCTGGTTCCGGCAGAGGAGGTGGGAGAGGCACAGGAGGCAGTGCTGCCTAATGGTTAAGACTGCTGGCTCCAGAGTGGGACAGCCTGGGTTCAAGTCTCATCACTGGAGCTCAGTTCTCTAAAATGAGGATGATAACAGTAGAAATCTCTTCAAAGATTGTCAGAATTAAACACGACAATGCACAGCCAGTGCTCAGCATGCCCTAAAGTGCTCAACGATGGCCATCTCTGAGCATGTTGTGAGAGGTGGCGGGAGAGAGATGGGTCTCATGGGCCCAGTGAGCTGCCTGAAGGACAGGGGCACAGAACACAGACGGTGGGTCCCAGATCCTGGAGGATGTGGCCAGCCTGTGGGTGTGAGAGGGTGAGTTGCTGGCGCGTCCCGGGACCCGTTCCTGGTGGAATGCCACACCAGTGCATGGAACCCCGGGAGTTGGGCCCTGCACCTCAGGCTGACTGTGACCTGGGGGTGGCAGGGCCTCCCCTCTCCCTACAAGCTGAGAGCTCGAGAAGCTGGATGCTCTGATGACCTAGTTGGCAGCTGTGTCCACGTTTGGCTGAAAACAGGAATTTCTGCCTCACTGGGGGTCTTGGCCAGGTGAGCAAACTCCCCTGTTTGTCAGGAAAAGGGGTCAGGGACCTGGTGGGCTCCCTGCTGGAGCAGAGGCCCGCAGACCCAGGGCTGAGGTCAGCCTAAGCTCTTGCCTTCCCCTTAGGCCTTAATGGAGCACCTACTGTGTGCCAGAGGGTGGGGCTCTCTCCTCTCTCCCCCAGCCCTACCCCATGAAATAGGCGTTTAGAATTTCCCTTTGCAGACTGGGAGCCAGGAGCGGGAATGGGGAGGTGAGAAGGCATGGACCAGAGAAATGGAAGAATCTCCAGAAGGCAGAGCTGCCAACCCTGGGTCCAGGGGCTGCCAGGCCAAGGGAAGGGGTCCAGGGTGCCTGGGGGTGGGGAGGAAAAGCATCACTGAGCGGGAGCTTTCGGGAGAGGCAGTCAGGGAAGGGAAGGGCAAAGGCACAGTGCCAGGCTGCTGACAGGGGGAAGTGGAAGGTGTGAGGCCAGAGGAACAAGCACCCCCTGCTCTGTGTGCTCTGCCCTGGCCTGTCACGCCTCTCAGTGCTCCCCTACCCAGGTGAGGCTGCTTCTGTCCCACACCCCACATTTACCCTCCAACTCCAAGCCAGGAACCAGGTATGTTTTCTTCCAAGTTCAACCTTGATCTGCAGCCTGGCTGATCACTGAATTCTCCAGTCCATGGGGACCTTTAGCCCTCTACCTAGGGAGGCCTCTGGGTACCAGAGTTGGACTTTCAGGAGGGATGGGGCTGGAGACAGAGATGTGGGTCATCAGAGCAATGGGGTGTTTCAGCAATGAGGCCACGGTGTTCCCAAGGGAAAAGAGCCTAGGATGGAGCTATCACCACTTACAGCTGGCTTGAGGAAGATGAGCAAAGACCCTGAAAAGGAGTGGCCTGGGAGGGAGGAGACGGCTTCCTGTGTGGGATCACAGCTGTGGGGAGAGCATGCCCAGCAGGGGTATGGGTGGGGGGCCTGCTGCACAGGGCCTAGGGAGAGAAGGTCTGAAAAGTGTGCAGAGTTTGGCAAAGAATACCCCTGACGCTGGTAGCAAGGGCAGCATGGAGCTGGGAGGGGCTGAAGGCAGCTCCAGGTGGGTTGAGAACGGGAGGGGCGGGAAGGGAAGCTGGTCTATGAAGAGCAGGAGGAGGAAGGGGAAAATGGCTGAGGGGCTTCTCACTATTTTTAAGATGGGCAAGACTTGAGTCCAGCTGAAGTCTGAGAGGAAGATGTAAATAGAGAGGGAGAGGCTGGAGGCAGAAGAGAGCATGACGGGGCTGGGGACCCCGAAGAGGAGGGGCAGTGCAGCCTCTGAGATGGGGCACAGAGGGCTGAGCACAGAGAAGGGGAGGGGGCCTGTAGCTGTAGCAGGAAGGAAACAAACAGAAGCCCCCAGCCTCTCAGCCCTGGGGTGGGGAGCACGCTCGCCTGTCGAGTGTAGGGCGACAGAGGTGTAGCAGGGGCCGTGCTAGTGGCTGCGGCTCCAAGGTCCAGGGTGGTGCTGGCCCAGAGCCTCAGTGTCCTCAGGGATTTGCCATGAGGATTGAATGACCGTAATGGGATTGAGAGGCAGGGTTCAAGTGGATGCGATGAAGCGGGTTGCAAAGAGGAGGCTGGCGGCCACACTGCTTCTCCAAAATTAGTTTTTAATACATTCAGGTAGGTTATGCAAAGAGTTGGTCCCGAGGCCTGGGCTGCGGCCTGGGTCCTGGGAATTGACAGCAGCATTGTGTAGTGTTTTCAAAGATCAGGCGTGAGGACCCACACCTTGGCCTCCAGGCCTAAGGAAGAGTGTCACGTGCAGTAGCACCTGTGGTTGTGATCCCAACCAGGACTGGGTCTGCCTGGGTGCTCCACACATCACCAGGGCCTAGCCCTGGCTCTGCCCATTGACTCTCCCTTAACTTCCTCTGGGCCTCGGTGTTCTCCTCTGTAAAATGGGGTGGAGAGAGTGGCATTTTCATTTTCTTGCACATTACTGAGCCCACATCATGAGCCAGACTGTGGGCCAAGCACAGGTAAGATGATGAAGACAGCAACACAAGGTCTTGAGTTGGTCCCAGCGTGTCCATTCTTCCCAGACAGCTCATGACTCCATGCTATGAGGGATAGGGGGTTTTCTGGGTGAGCCTTTCTACCTAATTTTCCAAGAGGGGAAAAAAAAATCCTTGCATGAGGAGGCACAGAAAGGAAGTTTGGAGCCAGCTTTGGAGCCAGCATTATCTTGTGATGTGACAGCCAAGAGAGGACATCACTCTGGTCCAACCCCCAATCTCACCCCCAAATAGGGCTTTTTTTTCCCCAGAGGCTCTGTATAGCTCTCCACAAGTTTCATTCTCTTCCTAAGCCTCAGTTTCCACATCTGTGCAATGGGGAGGTTGGATTCAATAGTCTCAAACTCCAGGCTCTGCTCAATAGAGGAAAAGGGAATGAGAGCATGCAAGAGCACAGAGAGAACAGGAGAACCCACACCAGGGTGGAAAGGATGGAAGGAGGGAAACTAAGGCAGAGCAGGAGGAGAGCGCCTGCAGCTGCCTGCCTGGGAGAGAGGAGAGAGCAGGTGTGCATAGCACAGGATACTTCCAGACCCTGCTCGGGCTATGTGGAGCCACTTCCTGTCCACTTAACGGCCTGCAGCCCCTGCAGTGGCAAAGATCAGGCCCTGGAGACAGAAGGATGAGGGTTTGAATCTCACCTAAGGCATTAGTTAGCTGGGGCCCTGGAAGGAGATTTGTAGAACTTCAGTTTCCTCTTTTATAAAATGGGGATAAAATACCAACCTCCAAGGGCTGTCATATAGGGGCAGACACAGGCTTGGATTCACATCCACATCTGCCAAGCTGGGTGCAAAACAGAATCAGATATCTAAGGTTTTAGCTCCTGGCTTAGCAGCCAAGGCGGGGCTGCGATGGAGAAGGGCTGGGCAGGGACGGCGCTTAGAGCAGTACTGGGGTCAGGCTGTGTAACATGAGAGTGCCAGGCAGGGAGACGGCCTGTCCAGAGCAGGAGACAGAATGGTCCAGTGCCGGGATGGACCCCTTAACCAGACCCTGCTGGAGCCGCCACGGCCCACCTAACAGCACCAGATCCAAGACACACTCGTATGGCTCCAATTCTCTCTTCCGGTCATAAGCTTTTCATTTTGAGAGAGACTGAAAGTCATTATCAGAAGATGTGACAAACAGTCTGCTTGGAAATGTCTCAGACAAATCCTCCCAGGCTGGGCCCTCTCTCACCCTGGCATGGCTGGGGCAGGACTCTTCGCATCGAACCAGCGGGGCCTGCCGAGCTCTGGAGCCCCGGGCTTTCACACCTCAGGCCCTAAGCACACTGCGTGGTCACCACGCGGCTCTGTAGCACTCCCTCCTACCAGACTGGGAGATTCTTGAGGGCGGGAGTGTATCTCATTTCCCAGCATTCCCAGTGCCCAGAGCAGAGTGTGGCACAAAGTAGATGCTCAGTGAAGATTTGTTGATCTGATAGGTCAACATTATTCCCTGCTGTCCCTGAAACCGCCCAACTTCTGGCTTCCACAGCTGGACCCAAAGTGCAGCCCGGGAAGGGGGTCCCCCGCTGATGCAGCAGGCGGCAGAGAAAGGTGTCCCGGGTTGCAATTTGGAGACCAGAGTTCTGGGATCCTGGGTCACTGTGTGACCTTGAGTCAATCCTCACTCTTCTCTGTACCTCAGGCTCCCCCATTGACCTAGAGTGTCTCCCGGCTTCTTTAGGCTTTATACTGTTGGTTAAATTTCTGCCGGCGGACACAGCAGCAGGTGGCCAGCGTGGTGAGGAGGATGGCAGAGACCAGTATGAAGGTGAGGATGATGATGAGGTTGATGTTCTTGAGCCCCCCCTTCTCACAGTCCTCGGGACGCACGTGGCTCAGGGACACCTCCTCCTGGGAGCTGAAGCGGCAGATCAGGTCCTGGGTGGCGTCCACGTCCACACGGCCCTGGTGCAGCTGGGCTGCCAGCCAGCCATTGCCACAGCAGCTGAGTGGATTCCCCTGCAGGTAGAGGCGCCGGAGGCTGGTCTCCAGGCCACCCATGGCACTGCCTGGCAGGAGGCTGAAGCTGTTGTTTCTCAGGTCCAGCACCTCCAGTGACACAGCCTGTGTCCAGGCGGGAAGGTGGCTCAGGTGGTTCTCGGCAAGATTGAGCCGCTTGAGGCAGATGAAGCAGGGCAGGTCCACCTGCAGGACCGTCAACCCATTGCCCTGCAGTGCCAGGACTTCCAAGGAGGCCTCCAGGCCTGTCAAGGCCCCCGTGGCCACCTCCAGCCCAGGGTTGGAAGAAAGGTCCAGCTCAGTCAGTGGGGTATGGAGGAAGGCCCCTGCCCTGAGCAGCTCTATCTCATTATCCACCAGGCTCAGGCTGCGGAGGGAGGCGATGCCAGAGAAGGCCACACAGCTGGCGGGGCCAGGCTCATTCGGCCCCCCACAGGGGCTGACCCGGTTCCCCTGCAGGTTGAGCCGCTGCAGGCTGGCCAGGTTGGCAAAGGTGTATGGAGGCAGGTCCCGCAGGGCATTGCCCTGTAGGAGCAGCGTCCGCAAGGACCCCAGGGCTCTGGCGCCCAGTTCCAGTGTCTCCAGGGCATTGTGGCTTAAATCAAGGAGCATCAAGCAGGGCAGGGAGCCTGAGCGCCGGGCCTCAAAGGTCCGCAAGCAGTTTCTGCTGAGGTTCAGGAAGCACAGGGAGGTCAGGTGCTCAAGAAAGCTGTCGGGGATGAGTTCAATCTCATTGTAGCTCAAATCCAGATTCAAGAGCTGGGAAAGGGGGCGGGCACTGGCATTCCCATTGGGGGTTGAGAGGGGCAGGGCTGACCAGCCCTCGGAAGGCGCGTGGATGCCCTTGCTGTCCTGGGGTGGCCCTGTGGGGAGCCGGATGAGGTTGTTGGACAAGTTCAGGTAGATGAGTCTCGGGAGCGCGGCCAGGTCGGGGAAATGGAGCAGTTTGTTCTCCCGCAGGTCAAGCCAGGTGAGCTGGAACTCGGCCTGGGGCTGGGAGGCCGTCTGAAAGGCCTCAATGCTGTTGCAGCTCAGGTCCAGCACCCGCAGCTGCTGAAGGCTGAAGTCGGAGATGCAGGTGAGGGAATTCCTGGAGAGGTTGAGATGGGTCAGGTGGGGCAGGCCCTCGAAGGCGCCATCCTCGATGTCCATCAGCACGTTGCTATGCAGGTCAAGCTGCTCCAGCGCAGGCATGTCCCGGAAGGTGTGGCGGGTGAGGCGAGTCAGACTGTTCTCCGCCAGTGAGAGGGTATGCAGGCTGGGTGCCTCCCCTAGCAGCCGCTCCAGCAGGCCGCTGTACAGGCTGTTCCCAGACAGGTCCAGGGAGGTCACACGTGGCAGGGGGCCCAGACCACCGGCACTCAGTGCAGTGGCCATCGCCAGCCGGTTGTGAGCCAGGCTGAGGTGCTCCAGGTGGGTCAGGGCCTGGAAGGCTCCTGGCTGGAGGAAGTTGATCTCATTGGTGCTCAGGTCCAGGTGACGAAGTGCCGTGTAGAAGCCCAGGGGTGAGGCCAGGATACTCCGCAGCTGGTTCCCAGAGAGATCAAGGGTCTCAGTGTCCGGCGGGAGCACCAAGGGGACCTGGAGCAGGCCCAGACCCTGGCACGAGACCTTCTTGTCCACCTGGGGAGGGGCAGGGTGGGGAGACAGCTGGCATAAGTGGGCGCGGTAGGGGATAAAACCAGACACGTTTATCCAGGAACCCTGCCTGGCTGGGAACCCTTCTCCCATGGACTCCCAGAATGCTCAACTTTCCCTCACCGCAGCCTGATCACCCCATGCCTGGATGACCCATCCGGCTCCCTGCCCCATCTCCGGCACCCAGCACAGTGCTGGGCATTAAGGAAGGAACTCGATGAAGTTTCTACGGGTGGACAGATGGAGAGATGACAGACAGATAGAAGGACAAATAAACTAACAAAGAAACCCTGTACTTATTATTACCCCTCTTACAGGAAACAGCCATATATCCCACAGAGTGACCCCAAGCCAGTGAGCAGCAGGGCACAGCAGGGACCCAAGGCTCCTGGTTCTATGCACAGAGTTAAATTTCCAGGGGCAGGATGGGAATTTCTCCACTTTGGGAGAAATGTTTCCAAAAGGGAAAACTGTAATTTGAGCTCTGTCATCAGTTTTTATCTTGGCCTCAGACCTCATTCAGGCTCTCATGTCATGGGCAGAACCTGGGTCCCGGGGCCTGCCTTCCTTGTGGATGCTTCCCAGGTGTGGCCTCCTCTCTGTTGCTGTTACCTGCTAGGGGGTGGCTTTCTTCCCAGGCTGGGTCAGGGGACTAGGCCCCTGGAGGTGGGAAGGGGCAGGGAAAAGATGGCCAGAGCCAAATCCACAGTCTTTGGTGACGAGACCATGTTTGTGCTGTGCGACCTCCAGGAAGTCACATAACCACTGTTTTCTTACGTCCTTCCCCAGCAGCCACTCAACATTTGACATCTTCGTTAATACTTTCAGGCCTGTGGTCCCATTGGTCTTTACCACAGCCTGTGCATCTGATACGATCACCCCATTTACAGAAATCTAGGCTCAGGGAGGGGAAGGGAGGTGCCAGGATTGCCCAGCTGGTGAGGAGCAGAGCTGGGATTTGAACCCAGGTTTTTTAACAACCAAAGGCCTCACTCTTGTTCTTCCGCAGATGTGCCTTCTGGGACCAAAATTCTTTCTGTGCAAATGCAGGTCTCCCTTTTCTCTTCCAGGCCTCCAGGAACCCCAGCCTTTCCCAGAAAAGAGTCTGACTTCCACAATCACCGGGCTCAGGCTCCCTGCCCCCAGCTTCTGTCTCCACTGACCCATTCTGGCCCATTCACTGCTAAATGCCTGACAACGGCTCAAAAGCTCCACTCTGACTATGAGGCAGCTTGGCTTAAACTTCTCCATGGTGAAGTCCAGGACCCTCAGCAGGGCCTTCGAGGCTGTTTGTAGCCCCTGCCAACCTGTCCCCCACCTCCCACCCCAGCCCACACGCAGTGACCACAGCTGACCACTGCCCATCATGCCCTCCCACACCCACTGCTGAGCCTCCTCCCTGAGCTGGATATGCCATCCCCAACCAGATCCACATGTGAACTCTTCATGTTGAGCTTCAGGGCCTCCTCTACCAGGGAGCCCTCCCTGACTGTGCTTCCTCTCAGAGCTTTGCCCCGCTGAATTGTGGCTGTTTGTGTGGGGACCTGCTAGACAGCGAGCTCAGAGCAAATGGGGACTGGTTTGGTGGATGTGGATGCCTTGGACCTGACTAGCAAGTCAATTTTTCCTAATGAATGAGTCCCAGGCATCATCGGTTTAGTAAAGGTCTGAGGCACTGAATCAATCACTTCTCTGGGAGGAAAGAAAATGGATGATTGATATTTTCAGAATATAGTCAAAGACGGCTAGAGTAAGAAGAGTTCAGCTCACCCACTTCCCAGATGGGGACACTGAGGCCTGAAGATGGCAGTGACTTGCATGAATTCACAGTGAGCCAGTGGCTGAGCTGGTAGGGAAGGAACACAAGCTGGTGTGTTCCTCTCCTGGTCCAGCTCTGCGCTTCCTCCTGAGAGCCCCAAGGTGAGTAGGCGGAGGAAGAGACCTGCCCAGCCTCCGGCCTCTGTGTGGCTCTTCCTACTCCATGCAGCACAATGACTCCATGTAGCCTCCAAGGGAGGCAGCTTCACAGGGGCCTCAGGAGGCCCAGGGATGCCCCAGCAGTTGGGCACTTGTGAGAACCTGAAACCTGCCTGGCTGCCTTGCCCATCCTTGCCCTTCCTCCCTCACAACCTCTCTGCCTGCAGGGGCCACTAAACATAGCCTCCTCCTCACAGCCCTTACCCCCTGGGGCATTCCTTATTTAAAGCAGAAACAACGAAATGACCTGTGGTGGAGCCCTAGCTGTGTCAGGCTTCCTGCTGAGTGCAGAGGCCCCTACCCCATTAAATCTTCCCAGGCATTGTTCACCCTGCTCCTGTTGTACCTCTAACGAAACTGAGGCTAAGGGGAGTGGGCTGCCCAAGATCAGACAGGCAGGGGCTCAAAACTCCCATTTGCAAATTCCTTTTCCTATTGGTGCCAGCCAAGTTCTGACCACTGGGCCCTCAGCTGGTCGGCACAGCAAAGAGCATCAGGGACCCACTTACTGAGTGTTGCAGTGTGGGGGGCACTCTGCGGTGCCCCACGTGTTACCCCCGGGCAAGTGGAGAGGCATACTGCCTCTGGATAGGCAAAGGCTCCCTGGGGCACTAGCCCCTGAGACTTGATCCAGGACACAAAATTTGCCAAGCCCACAGCCCAAGTCTTCCTCTCCATTCAGGGGCCCAAGATCCCTGCTCTGGAAGCCCAGGGGGCCTGCTGGTGGGCAGGGCTGCACTGGGATGCCCAGCTCTCCAGTCCAGTCCAGGAAAGAGCCTGAAGTCCAGGACGGTGCTCAGAGCTCCACTTCCAGGGTCTCCATGCCTCCTTCAGCTCTGAGCTCCCAGCATTGCCTGGCTTACAGTGGGAGGGAATTGGAGGAATTGGCCCTTGGCCAGAGTTTAGAGCTCCCACCCACTGTTCTGGGCTATCAGGATACCATTGCCCAGCTTCCTTTTTGTGAAACAAAGACTTGCCATCCAACTCCATTTCACCACCTGATCATGGGAGGAAAGCAGAGTAGGGAGAGGCACCAGGCAGTGAACAGTGGCAAAGGCAGCTGGGTTCGAATCCTGTAGGTCCCTGGTGGGTTACACATCTTCCCCTTCCCCTCCCGTGTGTATTATCCCCATGCTGGTTCAGAAAGTGCTTTCCTATCTCTTATCTCATTTCCCCAGACTCCAAAACTCACTCGCTTCCCGTCTGCCTGTTGGGTGGTTAAGGTCTTTCCCCTCTGAGCCTCATCTCCCTGAGGTAGAATGTGCGTTTGTATTTGGTGACGTCTGAGGCCTTCTCTGCCCGTAATTCTGGGCTCCGGGAATCTTAGAAGGGCTCTGAAGAGCAAGAAAGGTGGTGGCAACAGGAGACACTGCACCCCCAGGGAAGGGCTGCGGGCAGGCAGCCGCCGGCACTTCCTGCCTCCTGAAGCAGCTGCCGGTTCTGTGTCATAAGCTTCTTCGAGTCTCAGGTCCAAGAGGGGCTTCCGGAGGCCCTGCCCTTTCCCCAGCCAGGCTCTGGTCTCAGTGACTGCCCGGCCTTACAAATGGACCTAGGTGTTCTCTTTGCCCTATATCTCATAGAGTCACAAGAACTTTAGGGCTAGTTTCCCTGGCTTGGGACAGGAGAAAGGAATAGAAGCAAATCAGACTTGGTCCTTGCCCTAGGGAAGTTCATGGTCTGGCAGGTGAGACAGGCTTAGACCCTTTCACCAACCCCCACCACGTGCTCAGTCTTCTCTGTATTGAGATAGAGGGAAGCCTGGGGACCACAGGAACCCAGAGGAAGGTGTGATCAGACTAGGCCAGCCTAGGAGGGGCTTGGGGAGGCTTCCTGGAGATGGCAGCATTTGACCTGGGCAGTAAGGAGTGAGAGGCACCCCAGTGGGCAGTCCCAAGTCAAGGAGCCCAGTTAGGAAGGGGATTTGTCCCCAGGAGGGATGAGCACAGAGGAGCCCCCCCCAGCTGACCTACCCCAAATTCCCCATACATATATACATTCTAGATCCCCTAGCTGGGCCTACTGCTCTGTGGGGACAGCTTGGGGGAATACAGTGTAATATCAGCCTCACTGTTCCCAGCTGAATGACCTTGGAAAAGTCACAACCTCTCCAAGCCTCAGTCTCCTCCTTTGCAAAATGAGAATAATGGTGCTTACCTGGCAGGATTGTTGGGTAAACAAGGTGTTTAAACATTCTAGTAGGTGCTCATTAAATGCAAGGTACATTCCCTTTCCTCTCCTGACTCTTCTAACTTCTGGCTTTTGGGGCTGGAGCACTAGCACACCCTAGGGCAGGGAGGTGGGGGTGGCCCTCACCCTGTCTGGGCAGAGCATCTTACCATCTTACATGCCACTTTGTCTTGGTGTTGTGCAGCCAGGCCTAGGGTCAGCAGGGCCAGGAGCAGCAGGATCTGGGGGCTCATGGCTCTGTGTAGGGCGGAGAGGAAAGGGGAACACTGTAAGACCACTGGCTCCTTCCCACTGCCAGTCCCCACTCCCACCCATTCTGTGCCTGCCCTCGGAACCTCAGAGCACGGCTGGAGCTGGAGTAAAGGTGCTTTGAGCAGGGGAGAGCCGCGTGGGAAATGGGCCTGCAGCTCATCATAGTAGGCCTCTCACCCAGGCCAAGGAGCCGCCTGTTACCCAGGGGAAGCAAGAGTTTTAAAGCGGCAGGTGACTTGGCCAGATGGGGGTTTTCAAAAGACCCCACCCGGCGGAAGACAGCCCGGAGGGGATGCACAGAAGGCTGACAGACCCTAAGGGTTACCCTAGGCCATGCTCAGGGCCAGGGAATGGGGGCATGGGGATGTAGAGGGGGTTTGGAGGGTGGGCCTCTGACTACATTTCCACCCAGGCCACACAAGTCCTCCATACCAGCTCCTCAGTCCCCATATGGAATTCCTCGTTTTCTGCCCACTCCCCCACCTTTATTTTGCCCTTTTCCTTTTGATTCTCTGATTCTCGAGCCCTTGCCATTGTTCAAGGCTTGGGCCCGGGCCTTGACAGGAAGCCCCACAGGAGGCCTGGCTGCCCCAGCACTGCTCTGCGGACTTCCCCAGGAGCAGCCTGGCAGGCCCTGTACTTTCACTGAAGCCACACTCTGGCCTCCTGGGCCAGCCCTTCCTTCTGAGAGCAGCCAGGGGTGGGGCTAAGGGGACTGCACAGGCCCTCAGCACGGTCAAATCCCAGTGCTGCTGGAGGCTCACTCACCCCCTTACTAAGGACATCGGCCAAGTGCTAGGGATATACAAATCCATCCATGAATTTCATTCATTCATTCACACCTTTACTGAATACCTCCTCATGTCTGGCTCTGTGCTGGGAACCGGGAACTCAGAAAACAAATGAACACAAAAAAGAAGTGACAGCGATACAGAGAGTCTTAAAGAGGGACACAGAAAGCCTTCCAAGAGCACCAGGCGCACAGTCACCCACATTCGACTGCTCCCCCTTGTCTCCTCTACCTTCCTGCTGTGTGACCTTACAAGTCGCTTCACCTCTCTGAGCCTCAGTCTCCTCATTTGAGGTTAATGGCAGCCATGCCAAGTTTTGTTGAGAATCAAACGAGATGCCACTACCAGAGCCCCCATTATGCACTAGGCCCTCTTCTCGGCACTTTCTAGGCGTTAACTCATTCCATCCTCACAAAAATTCAATGACTTGGTTCCATGATCATTCTACAGAAGGGAAAAAGAAAGCTCAGCGAGCTTAGGTACTACACCCGAGGTCACGCGGTGAACAAGCCACTGGCCCAGGCAAGTCTGGATCCTGGGTCTGTGCCCTTCAAATTCACACTCTCAGGCCTCCCACAGTGGGTGCTCCCTGAGTGAGTGCTGAACCGCGATTTTGAAGGATGCTGCAGGAGAAAAGGCATTTACAGGGCTTTTGAGGGCAGCGTCTTTGACTGTTGGAACCACTAATGATGAGCTTTGGATGAAGATGGCTGCTGTGAATCCCATCTCGCTTGAAGGCATACAGACCACAGCCGGACCCGTGAACCCTATTCCCTGGCTCCCCTCAGGGCCACGGGCGCTGCCCCCGCAGCTGCTCTGCTCTCACCTGCATTACAGGTTGCGCTTTCACAGGAAACTTTGTTCTGCTGTTTAAAGAGCAGAACGCCACCGCCGGTTAAAAAGTTAGCATATTCAGAACTGAGTGAAAACCCCTTTGCAGGGCCTTCCAGGCCGTTGGGGAGCATGCCCTGCCCGGCCAGCTCTTCCCTCCAGCCTCCTTCTCCGGCGTCCCCTCTCACACTCTGGATTCTGGACATCTCATATTTCTATCAGTTCCCTGAGCAGATTTTCCCTGCCCCAAACCTTCACTTCCTCCCCTCTCCTCTTCTACTAAAGACCTCCTCATCCTTGGGGTCCCAGCTTAGATGGAACAAGAGGTCTTCTTTGGTTCCCCAAGTCTGGGCTATGTCCTCCAGTCCTCCCAGAGCCCCCGAGCTTCCAGTGAGCACAGCACCAAGCCCTCCGTGGCTACTGTGCCCCACCCCCCCTCCCATGGGAAGTGCCCCTAGAGAGGGGCTCACCGTCCTGAGATGCATCTCACAGCACACAGCAGGTCAGCAGCGGCACAGAGAACTGACACCAGGAGTATTGGTGACATGGGGTCGTTAGTGACAGCAGTTCTCCTTGGCTCTCCCTTCACCTCCCTGCCACATTCCCTGCCCCTATTTGTGCCATCAGTGGGCTCTGACTGCTCTCCCTGAAAAAGAGACCCCAGATCTTCCTACTTCCCTCTTGTCACTGCCACAGACTGAGATGCCACCCCAATACCGGCCTTAACCACAACACCCTGACCCCTTATAATCTGTCCTATACCTAGCAGCCAGAGAGATAAAATCATCTGTCAGACCCTAAACCTCTACTGCTTGAAAATCTCCAAGAAAATCCAGGCCATCCACAGTCTCCTCTCTGACTCTTGTCCATTTTCCCTTCCCTCACTAAATTCCAGCTTTCTTGCTGTTCCTTCAACACAGCAAATTCATTCCTGCCTCAGGGCCTTTGCTCCTGCGGTTTCCTCTCCCTGAATGCTCTTCCTCAGCTCCTCACATCATTTCCTCATCATTTATTTCTTATCATGTGGGAACAGGGGCCTACTAAGTAGGTGCTCACTAAAGACTAGTGAACAAGTGGCAAAGTCAGGGCAGAAGCTCAGCTGCAGCAGACTGAGTAGAGAGTGCCAGGTGAGGACAAGGAAGGGTCCTAGGCCCTTATTTCCCCTTCCTCTGCCAAACCCCACTCTATCCCCAAGGTGGCCCTGTGCACATCCAGAAGGGACCGTCCCTGCAGCACATGGGCACTCTGTCCTGGCATCTGACAGGAAG